ACTCCCCATTCGTTAATGTTTGAGATATTTTATTTGGTTTATATTAAAATTTGATATTTTTCTATACAATTAACTATTTGTAGCGTTCAATAAAAATTTAAAATACCATGAGAGTATTAAATAATACAACAAAATTACAATTTGTTCACAAGAAAATCAAACTTAAGGCATAGAAAAATATCTGGAGCATTATTGAGGGAGCCTGTGTTAACACCATTCGTCAAGTGTATGACATGTAGTAAACTCTGTTATCATGGTAAGATCTTGAAACTTATTCCTCACAGTTTATTAACGCCTTATGCACGCCATGTCAAAAATAAAAGGCAAAGTCAAACAAAGCATTATTTGAAATGTTACTTTTTAATGTAACGTTTGTAAACTAATTTGGAAGCTAAATGATTGTTAAGAACTCATGGTTACTATTTGATTGCGGTATAAATGACGTTCAAAGTAGGAAACGTATTTTTTCTTCAGCTCGTAAAGGTACTGACATTACCAACAGTAAATGTATGCAGTGATACTTTGGATTTGTCCAGTTAAATGGGCTACTTATTTCTCCATAAAAAATTACAAGGGGTGTTAAGGTGTCAATATTTACATGTTTCTAAATCATTTCTTCAAAATTAACAGTAAAGCATGAAAAAAACAGTTTAAGCTATATGTATCATGACAAGATGCTGATAATTTTGCACAAATTTTATTCTGAAATATTTTATGAGGGAGGAAAGATTAGTACCTATAAAGGTTAAAATAGTATGGTACATAAAGAATCTCATCAGCTGATTGTATCAAATTATTACGAAGAAATTCATCCATAATTATATACGTTTTTTCTATTTGATATTACTTTGAATGTAGCTAGCAATCAAGTCTTGTTTATTAAAGTGTTAATCGAATACCATTATAGAATTTTTTGGATCATGCATCTGAAAATGCCACTCTTCTTAAGTTCTTTTCTGTCAAGATTTGAGACGAAATCACAGATTTCACAATTAATTTCTTAATGTAATTTTGTTCAAGATGAATTATTTTGATTTTCGTACAAGCGGGAGATTCAAAACTACACGTGTATGTAGGCAGCGTAAGCCCAAGGTAGGACAAGTACAAAATCCAATAATAAAATAACATGTAAAGCTGAAATAACAACCAATACTTAATCAGCTAATGCATTTGTAAGATAAATTCTGCTAGTTGACTATTAAAATTATTAACTGTTCAATACAAGTGCTAAATTTTAATAAAAAATATAAGGCGGATACGAAATGACAAGAACAAATTAAATTTCAACCATCAGACTACTTTATTTTAACAAATAATAACTGTGCTACTAGAGTAACGTGCTTCGTATTACATCATAGCAAATTTAACTAATTAATACAGTATGATTAAATAACAGCAAGGATTTATGTACAGTAGTAAATAGTATAGTAGACACAACTAATCATGTACATAAACCATATATTCTTTTTACTGTCCATTAAAAATAGTTATTTTACTATTTCGCATGCGGACCCATTCCTTTTGATCGTTTGCAAGTTTTGATTCATGTGCCATTCGAATATCAATGTATTTTCCTATGATCAATAAAATTAGTTGAGACCTGTGGTCCATAAGCGCTTCTTGCTCAAGAAAGTGATTATTACTGAAAACATGTCTAGGCAAAGAGTTTAACGTTTCCAGCGTCATTTTGGTAAAAACATTCTTCGCAAGTAGATTTTTATTTTGTTTAATAACTGAATCTGGTGTTTTGCAAACAATATGTACATCATCCGATGCAAAATTCAAACCTCCATAATTTCTCATACTTGTCAGTTTACTCTTGCTAAGACTAGTGTTCTTGACCATTAATTGCAAGCAGTCCTAGCAGTGAATTTTTTTGTTTCAAAACATGCACTACTGATCCAGCGATGTAAGCTGTGACCTCATGAGCATACTCATTACACGTCCAAGATTTTGATGTACTATAGTCGTAATCCACAAGGCAGTTTTCATTACGAAAATAATTTGTAATAACTACTTACAGAATCGGTTGCGGTATTGGTGGTAAAGGTCGACTAGTTGTAGGTGCACTTTTTACTTTTTTATGCGTATTTAAGCATTTTTCTTCAGTCAATTGCTTGACATCGTTAGTATTCTCAGTCTTTGACAACAAAAAAGTATTATCCAAAGGTGAGCAGTTTGCGGAACATTATGTTACACACGACATTTTGTGAAACGTGAGCTTCTTGTATGCAAATAAAAATTGAGTAGCAGTAGGGTTATTATTATGGCCATTCATGCTTCTGATAAGGGAAAAAAAAGTTCTACGTGGTCCTGGCTCAGTTTGTAACTTAATACATAATCCAAATATTTGTTATTAATTAAATAAACAGCCAGGTCGTACACATTTTTTAGAGAAATAACAAACCTCCTAAAGCCAGTTTGTACTAATCTACTCTCTAAAACTCTCACAGTCCGATATTTTATTTGAAATATTGCCTTACTTTTTTTTCACAGGTTCAGAAAACTCTAATTTCTTTATATACTTAACGAGATTATCAATCTTGTTCAGTTTTCAAAATCTTTATTGAATATGACTTAGCGCTTAGTACAGAGTTGCAGACAATTATATCACTTCTGTCGATGTAATTTCCCTCAGTTTTTTTTTCCTTGGGTCCTCGATCATCAGTCTGTCAGCTCGCGCGTGGCTCGGCAGCTCCGCAGGAGCAGTACGCGTGCAGAACGAAGGAGGGCGCGCGAGCCGTCATCTTGTCGGACGTTGATCGCGGGAAACGAGCCGAACAATCCGCCCGCATCGCTCCTGGAGTGACGTCGCCGCCCACCAAGGTGGGTCGGCCTTCTTGACCATCAGGGGGTGGCGTTGGTGGACCGGGGTTCGCTACGGGGAGTAAGGCCAGTTTGACAATCGGTCGCACGTACTCGTCAGTCGCTGTCTTCACGGTGACCACGCGCACCAATCCATCAGGACCAGGCTGGGCGCGAAGTCCAGTAGGATGACGAAGTCGCCAACGGCAAAACTTCGGCGAGCAACGGTCCACTTCGGCCTCTGCTGGAGTGTATTATGGTACTCTTGGCTCCAGCGTGACCAGAACTGAGCCCGAATGGCTCTCACGAGGTCCCAATGCGAGAGAGCGTCCAAGTTCTCTATGGGAAGCCTGGGCTGGATGATGGAATCGAGTGGGGCTCCAACACGGAAGTGGCCTGGTGTAAGTACCTTGAGGTCGGAAGGGTCGCCGAAGAGCGGTGTCAAGAGCCTTCCGTTGAGCACCATCTCAATTCCAACTAGTACGGTGGAGAATTTCTCGTAGGTCAGGTGACGGGAGCCCATTACGCGTCGGAGGTGGCCTTTGACTGACTTGACGACGGCTTCCCAGAGTCCGCCGAAATGTGGAGCTCCAGGGGGGATGAAGTGCCAAGCAATATCTTGCGAAGAGAGAGAGCCGGCAACGAGGTCCCAGTCGATCTCCGCAATTTGTAACGCCTCGTGCAGCTTCAGATCACCGTGTCGAAAGCAAGTGGCATTGTCGCTCCAGAGTTCAGAGGGTCGACCGTGACGACCGGTGAACTGAGCGAGAGGGCCAGGAAGGCGGCTGTGGAGAGATCACCGACGAGCTCGAGGTGTAGGGCCTTTGGCGTCATGCACACGAAGACGGCGATGTAACCCTTCGTAGTGCGTATGCCTCGTCCTTTTGACGCAAGTACCGAAAAAGGCCCGGCGTAGTCGACACCTGTGCAGCCAAAATTGCGGGAAGATGTGACTCGTGAAGCTGGTAAGGGGGCCATCATCTGGGTCGCGGAGCGAGCCTGGAGTCGGGAGCATACGTCACACCACCGCAATTGAGCCTTGATTCTGCGTGGGCCACCGCGAATCCATGCACGCTTGGCCGCGTAGGCGCTAGTGACCCTGTATCCGCCGTAAAGAGCTCGAGTATGGGCCCAAGGAAGGACCAGTGAGGCGAGCGATGAGGCTCCGCTAAGGATCGGTGGATGCCGCTCTTCGTAAGTTAGCGAGGAGAAATCCAGCCGCCCACCGACGCGCAGAACGCCGTTGGTGTCGAGGAAAGCCGCAAGAGAAGTCAAATGGTTCCCTTTTGGCAATCGCTCGCAGTTCTGCAAACGCGCGCGCTCTTCGCCGAACGTTTCCGATTTGCTTAAACGGACGCAGGCCAGGAAGGCATCTTGAAGCTCGGTGGGGGTCAGTAGTGAGAGCACCGGCAGGACAGGTGTGCGACGCAACTGGCGCTGGACCCACCGACGAGTGCGCACGAGAACGACGAGTAGAGTGTGAAGCTTGGAATATCGTTCAAGTATGCTCGGCTCAGCCAGATAGGTGGCGTAGCAGGCCAACGGCAGGGGTGTCACCTCTTGAAGTGCTTCCTGGGGCCAGGCTCGGTCGTTGTCGGCGAGCCACGGCGGACCGTCCCACCACAGGAGTTGTTGTCTGAGACCAGACATGTCCGCGCTTCGAGTGGCCACGTCGGCTGGATTGGACTGCGACGGCACGTACCGCAAGGCGCTCTAGGGTAGCGTGTCCTGTATCTGGGCCACGTAGTTGTCGACGAGGGCGTTGTTGGTTGGCTGATCGGAGCGAACCCAGTGCAGCACAATTTGCGAGTCGCACCAGGCATGACAGCGCTCAATCAGAACTGCTAGTTCTTCGGCCGTCGAGCGCAGAAGCTTAGCAGCCAGCAGGGCAGCTCCGAGCTCCAAGCGAGGAATGGTCATCCGAGCCACGGGCTCGGCCATTGGCTTAAGAGTGCGGATGGGCGCCAGCTTCGTGCGAGCGAGGAGGATGTGGCAGCGGACAGAACGGTCCGCGGCCTGGAGTCTAGAGTACAGGACAGCAGCCATCGCGCGGTGGCTGGCATCGGAAAATACGTGCAGGTGAATATTCGCTGACGCGACCGTTCCGATCCAAAGAGGCAGGGATAGACCGGAGATGGCTTGGAGCTCGGCGGTCCACCTTTGAATCATGGACGATGGAGCAGACTCGTCCCAGTTCAGGTTGGCTCACCATAAGTCTTGCAGCAGGAGTTCAGCATAATCGGCGCAAGCCAACCGCATGGATCAAACAGGCCCGCGAGCGCTGCGAGCATGGTCCTCTTGGTGGTTTGGTGCTGTATGAGGGGAGGTGTTAGCAGGAAGCAATCTGACGGTGGGTCCCAGCTCACACCGAGCTCACTAACGAGACCTTCAGCGACAAGCTGACACCAAGTGGGCCGCAGGCGCACGTCGTCGGGGAGGTCGTCCAGCAGCTCGGGTACATTGGCTACCCACTTGCGCTGAGGAAACCCGCCGGCGTGCAGAAGTTCGATTAGCTGGTCACGAACATGTCGGGCCGTGGCGATGTCGTTGGCACCGGAGAGTATGTCGTCGACGTAGCGGTCGTTCATCACCACAGGAACTGCCTCGGGTCGTCGGTGTCCTTCGTCCTCGCACAGCTGCTGCACAGTGCGCAAGGAGAGGTACGGTGAGCACAAAGCGCCATAGGTAACTGTCAACAGCTGGTAGTGCGTGGGCGGTTGGTTTGGATCAGGGCTCCACAAGATACGCTGTAGGTCGACGTCACGCTTGTCAATCTAGATCTGACGAAACATCATGCGGACGTCGCTGCAGAAGGCGATTCGGTGTCGTCACCAGCGTAGGAGCACGCTGGGGAGCGCGGTCTGCAGCCTAGGGCCCGCGAAGAAGACGTCGTTTAAGCTGTAGCCGCTCGATGTCGGTTTCGAGGCGTTGAACACGATGCGAAGCTTGCGGCCCTTATCGCTGCTCTGCCAGATGCCGTGATGTTGGATATAGTGCACTGGTCGGGGCGATGCCGTGCGCAGATCGTCAGGCAGTGTCCTCATGTGGCCCAGTGCGATATAGTCTGCTATAAATTGCACATACTCAGCACCCATTGCTGGGGTCCGCTGGAGGCGACGATGCAACAAGTGAAGGGCGGCCGTGGCACTCTGCAGGCTGTTGCCGAGTAGCCGCGCACTGTCGCTCTTCAATGCCAGACGAACGACATAGCGGCCATCCGAAGCACGATGGTAATCGAGGAAGATGCGCTCGCACTCAATGTCCTCTGGAGCGCGGCGGCTGACTTGCGGTACTTCCTCGAGCTCCCAAAAGCGCTGCAGCAGTGCAGCCAGCTCGCGATGCCAAGACGGTGCGCCGTCCATATGCAGTGTTGAGCCAACAGTAAAAGCTGCCGGCTGCAGGCCAGGAGCACGGCCGACAAGGGTCCAGCCGAAGATCGTGTGCTGACCGATAATGTCACCCCGCCGGACGGATTCCGCCCTCAATATGCGGCTGTAGACGTCAGCACCAAGGAGCAGGTCCACACGACTAGGTGTACCGAATGCGGGGTCGGCCAGAGGCTGAAGATCAAGCCACTGCTCGGCCACGGATGGGTGCAGAGGAGCGGACGGCGATACAAGCCCGAGCTGAGGTAAGCAGAGTGCCGCCAAGGTGATCGGCGGCGCATCTCTGCCCGGGTCGATATGCAGATGGGCCCGAATTCTCGAGCGGACGACCGACTCACCTCCTACTCCGGAAATGCCGCATTGGTGTGCTCCAGCGTGGCGTTGAGCCGTTGCGCCAGGTTTGCAGAGACGATCGTGACCTCAGAGCACGCATCGAGGAGGGCTTGGACTGTCGCGCGCCGGCCGGACGGACCACTCAGCTGGACGAGAGCGGTCGGTAGCACGGCAAGTCAGGAAGAGGGCGACGGGCCCAGGTCGTCGGCATGGGTTGCACCGACGGGGTCGGCCTTCGGCCGTTTTGGTGATGGCAGGCCGTCAGATGGGTCCGATGGCCGTCGACGGCTGCTGTCGTGAAGCAGGCTGTGGTGCTGTTCTTGGCAGTGCTGACAAACAGATCGGGAGAAGCAGAACTTCAACAGGTGGCCCGTTCGGAGGCAATTAAAACATAGTCGGACTTGGTAGACCAGGTCTCGCCGAGCGTGCGCGTCGAGGCCTTGGAATCGAGCGCAGTGCCCCAGGTAATGGGTTTCGCTGCAGGACGGGCACGGAGGCAGAGCTGCGCCGGTTGCGAGGGAGCGATAGTACCGCCCAGAAGATGATGAAGCTGGTAGACGGATGCTGGGCGTGCTCGCTGGCCGCGCTGGGCGAGATGCCTCAATGGAGCTGAGAGCGCGGCACTGTCGGTTAAGAAAGTTTGTCATGGCGACGAAAGTCGCAGTCTCAATCCCAGCCCTTGTGTCAGCGCCCTCGAGCCGCTTGAGCTCGTCCTCCCAGGCACGCCGGGTAGTTGGGTCTATGCCGGTCATGGCACAAGAGATCAGCCAGTCATCCCACTGGAGGACAGGATGGCCCAAAGCTTGCAACTGGTCCCGATGGCGACCCAGCGTGTCAAGAAGGCTCCGCAAACCTCTGGCCGACTCGTCCCTTAAAGGCCTGATAATGCGTAGCGCCGTTAGATGGTCGTGTACTAGGAGACGGAGGTGTTCCAACCATGCCTCGAGCGCGGCCAAAGCAGTCGAGTAGTTGGAGCCAACGATCTGGATCGCGTCGAGGGCTGTTTTGGCATCTCCCTTCATGAGAGACTTTAAGTAAAACAGTTGCTCGACATCGGTGAGCTGTTGATCGTTATTCACTAGCGCTCGAAAGAGATCCCGGAAGCTCTCCCAGTCTTCTCTTTTCCTGGAGAAGGCGGGAATACTAATTCGGGGCAGGCGGGGTCCACAACTCGATGTAGCGCGCCCGGGGTCCGCTCCACCGTTGCCAGGGGGTGGTGCAAGGGTGCTCCTCGCGTTATAGAGGTGGGCGCGTGACTATATGTACTCAGTCTCCGATGTCGAGTACATTTGGGTTAGTAACTCCTGCTTCTCCGGAGGAGGCGTCTCGATGAGCCTCAGATGATTGGCCTAAAAGTCGCTCCAGTAGCCACCCAACAACTCAAGCCTAACTTTGACGAGGCCGATGGTTCAGGTCGAGGGCTCAGTTTGCGTGACGGCCAGCGCGAAACGAGCGATGACGTCTGCCAGAGCGCATTGGGCGCCAAATAGGTTAGCCCAGCCTTTGTCGGACCTGAAAGAGCAATCATGAGCTTGATGGTTGCACGAAGCTGCTATTGCCGTCGGGCTGAGCCTGGCTTTGTCCTCACTTCCACAAATTAACACGTGTGTGTGTGGTTATACGACGGGGAGAAGGAGAGAGAGCGAGAAAGAGAGGGACTCACACCTTATGTACACACACACACACGCACATACGCACCCACATGTCCATGCGGGCGCGTAGACGCTTGCGTGCATCACGCATTGAAAAAGAGAGGATAAATGCTAACCTTGATAAACCGCCCGTATTGCGTTTGCTCTAGTCATGACAAGGTATAGTGTGGTATATGTGAATCCGACTGTGAATCATTGACATAGCGTAAAGCGTTGTGTAATTCATATGTATGTGTTTATACACACATCTTTATCATATCACCTTGTAGTGTATAAGTATGAATATAATAAACAGTCAGTCTTTAGCCTTAGTTATGAGCAGTTGATTTACCTGGCTCCTTTCCCGTCCACAGGCTACTCATGAATAAGTATGTGTATATACAATAACTGGCGACGAGGATAAAAGTGTTATAAGGAGTGTAAAGTAAAGAGTGAATACTAAAATAATGAAAGATAGTACGAATGCCGGGTGTACAAGGAACTGCTTGGATACAAAATTTGAACAAGGAGGAAATATTTTTATTATGTCATGCAAATGGCATTGAGGTAAAAAGAGAGGATACACTAGCTGAGTTAAGAGAAAAGTTACGGGCGTTTGTACGGCAAGAAATAGCTGCTGGACGTGAAGAACAAGTAAAAAGTTTAGAAGATATTGAAAGTAAAACAGTTGAAAATAAAGAAGAAGATAACAAAGTGATTATTGATGTTAGACGAGTTAAGAAAATGGAGATTTCTGCAACTTTAGATTTCGATATCCGTAAAGACGATTGGGAAAAATTAATAGATCGCCTCGAGCAATATTTCATAGCAAATGATGTAATTGATGCCAATAAGAAGAGAGCCATTTTATTAAGTAAAGTTAACGCAGCAACGTATGATGTAATTGATAAGATATGTAAGCCAAAGAAGCCTGGAGAAAAAACGTACGAGGAGATAGTTAAGGTGGTAAAGGAGTATTTAAAACCACCAGTATCTTACTTGGTTCATCGAAACAGTTTTAGACAACGTATGCAGAATCAAAATAAAAGTATTGGTGAATACGTAACTGCTTTACAAGAGTTGGCGAATAATTGTAAATTTAAAGATGGAGATGGAGATGATCAGGTTTTAGATCAATTAATTGTTGGAATCCGAAGCAAGTCTATTAAAGCAGAGTTATCGAAAATCGAGACACCAAAATTAGATACAGCATTAAAAAAAAGCTTTAGGATCAGAAGCGGCTGAAAAAGGAGCTGAAACATTACATAGTCATGAACAGTATCAGGAGAAAGAGAAGGAAGAATTCAACAAGATGGATGCTCGGACAAATTCAAATTATTCAAGTAGAATGAGCCAGCCGGCAATCAAGTAGAATAGGCAGCAAGGTAAACAACAATACCAGCAACCCAAGCAGAGGCATCAGACATCGCGTGATCAACAATCGTCAACACACTTGGAGTGTTATCGTTGCGGTAAGCCGAATCATTTAGCTCGCGATTGTAGGTATATTAATGCTACGTGCTATTTATGTAATAAGCGTGGGCATCTCAAAAGTGTATGTCGAGAAAATGAGAATAATAAGAATTACTCATCACCCACAGTGAATCGTGTAGGATATTTAGGTACCGAAGATAAGAGTAGCGAAAACGATAGCGTAGCCGAAGAGTTAAATGATTTATTTTCTGAGAAAGCGAGTATGTATAACATGAGTAATAATTGTATTCCTGGAAAACTTTGTGTTGAACCGCAGTACATGAGTGTAGAAATAAATAAAATTAAAATTAAAATGGAAATTGATTCCGGTGCGGCTATGTCAATCATACCTATAAAATTAAAAGAAAATTATTTTGGAAAAATCGAAATGTTCGAGCCCAATGTTGAATTTATAAATCATGATGGAAGTATAAATGAACCAATTAGTATGTTGAAAGAATTAAATGTTAGAGCGAATAATATTGAAATTATAACAGATGTTTACGTAACAAAGTCATCGGGACCCCCGATTATTGGTAGATCGTAGTTAAATGCTTTGAATTTGTGGCCCTTGTATAAAGAATTAAATTTGCATTCGCTCGAATCAACAGAAGTCTATAAAGAAAATTTAAAAGAAATTTTACTTAAATATCGATCGTTTTTTGAAAAAAGCAAAGGGTTGTTCACGAAAGGTAAAATTAAACTAGAATTAAAAGAAGGGGCTCAACCCAAATATATGTTAGCACGTTCAATCCCATTTGCAATACAAGAAAAAGTTGAACAAGAATTAAATAGATTAGTAGAAAAAAAAATTATTGAGCCAATTGAAACAAGTGAATGGGCTACTCCTATAGTACCTGTAATAAAGCCAAATGGAAGCGTTCGTTTATGTGCAGATTCAAAGTTACAGTAAACCCCCAGTTAAAAACTATAAGATATGCACCCCCCAATTTTGACCACGCTATAGCTAGATTGCAGACTCGAAATAAGAACAACAGATTAAACGAAGTGAAACGTTATTCAAAAATAGATTTAAAAGATGCATTTTTGCAGGTTCCTGTGGGTGAAAATTCACAAAATTTATTAACTATTAATACTCATAAAGGCTTATTTCGTTGTTTGTACATGATGTATGGAATAGCATGAGGTCCTGGCTACTTTCAGAAAATGATCGAGGAAATTTTAAAAAACATTGAAGGGGTAGCAGTAGTCGCAGATGACGTTGTAATTACTGGTGACACGGATAAAGAACATTTGATAAATTTAGACAAAGTACTTACTAGATTACAAGAAAGCGGATTAAAAGGTCGATTAGATAAATGTAAATTTTTCAAAAAGGAAATAACGTACTTGGGGTATAAATTGTGCAATGATGATATTAGTGTCGACGAGAATAGATATAAGGCAATTGTCGAAATGAAAACCCTATCGAATCATAAAGAACTTCAATTATTATTAGGAAAATAAATTACTATGGAACGTTGTTTAATAATAGAGCAAAAATTTTAGCACCTTTATATAAGTGTAATAATAGCGAGAAATTTAATTGGACTAACGATTGTCACAAAGCATTCGAGAGCGCGAAAGTAGCATTAAAGCAAATAATTGTTAATTATGATCCTTCTTTAAAATTGATATTAACGTGTAACGCTTCACCATATGGTTTAAGTGCATTTCTTAGTCAGCCATACTCAGATGTGGAAAAACCTGTAGTGTTCGCATCAATCCGTTTAACGAAAGCGCAAGAGAATTACTCGCAAATTGATAGAGAGGCTGCGGCAATAATCTTTGGCCTAACAAAATTCTATGATTATTTATATGCAAGAGAATTTACAATAAGAAGCGATAATAAAACATTATGTAGAATTTTCTCACCTGAAAAAGGTATACCGAGAATGGCTGCGAGTCGACTACAAAACTGGTCGTATTTTTTGAGTGCATTTAACTATAAAATTGAAAATATAAGTACCAAAGAGAATATTATAGCAGACACTCTATCAAGATAACCTTGCGTAACAGATGAAAAACAAAGTGAAATTTTAAACACAGAAAGAAAATATACATATTTACATTACGTAATTGAAAGTAAAATTGGATGTTTAAATTATAAAGCTGTAGCGAGAGAAACAGCTAAAGACAAAGATCTGTCTCGTGTAAAGAGAATGGCATTAACCGGATGGCCAGAATATAAATTAAAAAATTGGCCTAAAGAGTTAAAACCTTATGCGTTACGAAAAGACGAAATAACAATTGAAAAAGAATGCCTTATGCGGGGACAGCGTGTCATAATACCGTTTAAACTACAAACACATATTATAGAAAATTTACATGATAGTCATTTTGAAGTAGTAAAAATGAAAAGTATGGCAAGGTCGGTTGTGTGGTGGCTGAACATAGATGAACATTTAGAAAGAAAGGCGAAATATTGTGAATTTTGTATTAAGGTGAATGACGTTCCTCGCAGAGTCACGCTTTTACCCTGGCCATGGCCCAACCAACCTTGGCACAGAATTCATGCGGATTTTGCGGGGCCATTTTTGGGTTATACTTATTTGTTAGTTATAGATGCATATTCAAAATGGCCCGAAGCTTACATTGTAAAAAATATGTCAACAGATCATACTGTAAAAATTTTTCAAGAAATTTTTTCTCGACACGGCCTACCCCATCATTTAGTAACAGACTCAGGCTCTCAATTTAAGAGCGATGAGTTTCTCGAGTATTTAAAGAAAATAGGTGTTAAACACACATTCGCAGCACCAAAACATCGAGCAACTAACGGTGCTGCTGAGGGCTTTGTAAAAACTTTCAAAAGGAAAGTAAAATCTATAGTCGATAGTCAATCTATTAGCGTGCAAAATGCAATTAATAAATTTTTATTCACGTACCGAACAACAAAACATGTAACTACCAATGAG